ATTCACAGCAACATTAATACCTGCTTGAACCATTAAAGTTGAAGCCATTTTTCATTTTTCTTCTGCGCCAGTTAAAAGTTTTCGATATCAAGTGGAAACAGATACTGGCGCCACTATTATTACGCCAGCAAACTGGCACGTGCATTAGCGCCAATAAACTATGCTTGTGGAAACGCCGCTTTATACCCTGAAATGATTATTTAATGAGCTAATTGGTAGAATAATAAAAAACACTCGAACAGGCTTAAATCCTGAGCAGATCCATTGGAACGGTCCTAGGTTGTAGCCTCTTTTTTAACAAAAAGTATACTACAGTGGCAGCTGTTCGCCAGAGAGCAATATAAGGGTGAGTAAGGAGTGTCTATAGCGGGCGCCAGAAGATTTAATTTTTAAGTTCCAAATCCTCAAATGAACTTTATCAAAAAAATGCATAACAAAAGAAATCTGAAAAGGAGGTAATCCAAAAATAATTGTAACAACTGTCTGCACTCATTTTGTTTATTTGATTGAAGCTTCGAGGTTTTTTAAAGCATAAGTCCAAGAAAAATCCCTCGATAAATTTCTTAAACCTAAAAAGCTGAAATTTTCCCTAATCTTTATAACTAAAAAAGAGCTGAAATTTTCCCTAATATTTCATTGCTCCCTGTGCAATGTAACAGTACAAAATAACCCTTGGCCTGATCAGGACCGAAGTTTATTACTTAAATCCCAGGATTTCAAGGTATGAAATTAAACTGATAAGTATAAAAAACCTGTGTTATCCATGTCCTTCAGGCTACTAGATCAATGTTCTGCCAATTGTGTTTTCCTAATAAAGTAAGATATTTTAATAGTAACAGAAAATCCTGGGTGACACAGGAAGTTAAATATTCTAGTCAGAACTTAAAACACCTGCATAGTCTTAGTCGAAGTCTCCCACATATGAAAGATTTTTATAAGCTGGAGCGTCGTAGACACAAACAGTTGCTAAATCATACAAAAAAAAAGTTTTATCAGGATAGAATTTTAAATTCGGATAACGCCTCAAGGGCGGTCTGGTCTGTGGTATCTGAGCTCACCAAGGGACGCAAGTTTTCTATGGGTTCAGCAGGTTTACTAATAAAGGATCGGCATGGTGAGATTGTTCGGGATTCGCGATCTGTCGCAAATCAGTTTAATCAATTTTTTATTGATGCACCACTAAATATTCTCGAAAATATGGTGAAAGATAAAAGTATTCTGTCAGATACGTCGTTGGGGAGTTGTTCTACTTTTCCTAATATGAGGGTCGATCTGTTTTCTGGGGGCGAATTGCGTGAATTGATCGCCAAAAAAATAAAAAATAAAAAATCTGCGGGTCCTGACGATGTTCCCGCGAGCCTTTTGAGGTGTGTCATGTTGGACTCTTGCCTTGAACCAATTACACATCTTGTCAACGCTTCGTTGGAAACTGGAATTTTTCCAGAAGTACTGAAGTGCTCAAAGATTGTTCCTATATTTAAAAGGGGTGATCCGACGATGACTGAAAACTATCGTCCCATTGCCCTGACTTCATGTTTTTCAAACCTTTTTGAGTATGCCATGCTCAACAGGCTTTTGCGGCATCTAAGTGAGCGTGACATTTTATCATCAAGTCAACATGGCTTCAGGGCTGGGAAGTCGACCTCATCAGCAATTTTAGCATTTTTGGAGGAGGTAGTGGATGGTCTCGAGGCGGGAGATCGCGCTATTGGGATATTCTGTGATCTCAGTAGGGCGTTTGATTGCGTTGATCATGGCATGATGCTCGATAGACTACGGCTTTATGGTGTTTCTGGGAAAAACCTTAATTGGTACTCATCTTTTTTGAAGTTCCGCAGGCAGTTTGTACAGGTGCACGATCAGAACGGTAAAACACATAATTCAGATAGCCAGAGCATCAACGTCGGGGTTCCTCAGGGCTCTATCCTGGGACCTGTATTGTTTTTGCTGTTTGTTAATCCCCTCCCGACGGATGTCCTGCATAGTCAAATTTTTGCTTTCGCTGATGACAATTCCGCTCTTGTGAAGAAGGATCAACAGGTTTCGATAGAGATAGCAGCAAATAGAGCACTCAAAGAACTGAGTGACTGGTTTATTAATCATAACCTTTTCCTCAATATTTCAAAGACCCACTTTATGATATTTCACACTAGTCAGACTAGATCGGATTTGGACTTGGGCCTGCAATGCCAGAACATGGAGCTGAAACGTGAAAGATCTGTGAAGTTTTTGGGCCTCACATTGGATGATGAGCTGTCGTGGGAGGAACACTGTCTTGGTTTGTCGAGTAGGATTAACGGTCTTTGCTTCACTTTTCGAAACCTGAAGTTGGTTTTGGACCAGCATCAGCTGTTAAGTGTCTACTACGCTACTGTGCATTCACGTCTTGTATACGGTATTCAGTTTTGGGGCACTTCATCAAATACGGACAGGGTGTTCAAGTCCCAAAAACGTGTCGTGCGATGTATAGCTGGTACATCTGCGACAACTTCCTGTGTTCCCTATTTTAGAAAGTATAATATTTTAACTGTCCCGTCTATTGTAATATATCAAATGTGTCTTTATGTGTTTATTAATAAGAATGACTTTTTAAAAAATAACGAATACCATTCCTACAACACTCGTTTTCAGAATGATTTTCTAATTTCAAGAAATAGATTGAGCAAAACAAAAACATTTATTTTGAATCTCGGACCTAAATTGTTTAATAACCTTCCACTGGAAGTGAAAAACTGTCAAAGTCTACCATTATTTAAGCGATTGATTAAAGCATTTTTAGTAGAACAATGTTACTACAGTATTGATTCATTTGTACAATCTAAGATGACCTAATATGTAAATTTAATCTAGATATTTTTTTCTGTAAAATTTTTATTTTGTAAATACTGACGATGTCCATATACAATTTATGTGTCTTTGGAAAAATAAATATATTGTATTGTATTGTATTGAGCTAGGATGAGTTCAGTTAAAAAACCCTCACAAGAACCACCATGAAGAAATGTAAAAAGCTGCGGGAGGCTGCGAGCTGCATACTCTTTTAGGTAAAGTGTAGTGGTTTTCGGTGACTGGCACCACTAAATTTGGGTCCCCTCGGTAGATCCTAAGAATTACCGCAACCCTTGCATGGCGATTTAAAGGAATATTATAGCCGAAGCAAGCTTACCTTGAAAATCAAGGATCTGGACACAAAATGAGTGGCTCAACCACGCAAATATTGATGGAGGGCATCTCCCAGGCCGTCCAAATGCACTTTAAGCTATAATACAAGGTTAAATTACGCAGGATGCCTTAGATTAACTTGAAAAACCAAAGTTACCGCCGATGGTGTCAAATGAGTTTATGGAATTTTCTCGATTATTCCACTCATGTGTTAGAAATCCCATAAAACAAGTGACGATTTTCAGAATTACAGCGAAAATTCTCTTTTCCATTTGTTTAACTAGAGAGAATTACAGCGATAATTCTCCCATGTTATTGTATATATGGTTGTCATGTTCATTTTTGATACAAACAAACGGTTCCTGATAGCAACCATTTATTTGTATTGATTGTTAAGATGTTCAAATCGTTTAATATACATATATATTTATTTCCATATTTTTTGCATTCTCATACGTGAAATAATCCTCTAAATACCACTTGAGCTTTAAAATGAACCAGATAATTTTTCACTCATGCGTGTTTTCTCTGCAAATTTCACTCGTCCTACGGACTCGTGAAATTATAGAAAACACGCAATCGTGAAAAATTATCGGTAATTTTGAAGCTCTCGTGGTATTATCCCCGAAAACACAAATAAAAACATTTCCACTAGCACTAGGCCACTATGAGCATTCTAACTTTACTCATTTGAAGGTGAAAGTCGAGGTAACTTGTGAAAATTTGACTTTCTGAAGGCACGAGGGACAAAATTATTATTTACGGACCAGGGGTGCGATTTTCGAAACCATTCGAGTACATTTCGTACAAGAAATTTGACTGCTCCCCATTTAATTTGTCAGACAAATTTCGTGTACGAAATGTACTCGAATGGTTTCGAAAATCGCACCGCAGTACAACTGTACCATTCGATCGCATTCAGAAAAGTGCCCTGCAGAACGACAGGAAGGAATGACATGATATTAAAAAATAATCATGAGAAGTTAGCTACGATCTACGGTGCATGGATTTAGCAACATACCAAACCTAAGGGCCTGTATACAGCATTAACTAACTTGAAATTATTTACTTCTTATCTTATTACTAAACCTCAAAGATAGCTTCAAGCTGTAACGTTGTAAATATTGCTGCTCAATAATCTTACAAAATAAGAATAATAATAATAATAATACATAGTTAAGAATTATCAGCTGAAAACAGTATTAAACAAGGACCACGCACGGATCTTATGAGAATAAATAAATTTCACGATTGTCATGAAATTAAAATATGTCATGCTTCTCGACCTCCTGAACGTAAGTTCTTGTAGGCCCAAAAAGATCCTATGATTAGTTTCGGAGATACAGGGCCGGGTTAACATACAAAATTTTAAAACAAAATAAACATTTCAAAATATGTTGAGTTCAGGCAATGACATATTCTAGGTTAGAAACGGGTGCAAAAATGCCAAATTAATGTCATCTGAAGCTTTCCAAGTTGAAAACTTGTCGAAAAATGCCAAAAATATGTAATTTTTGGTTATGAATTAAATTAATGTATAATAGACCAGGAGATTCTGAAGAGATTTCTTGTACTAATTTTTTTTCTTATCGGTCCTGTATCTCCGAAATTAATCATAGGATATTTTGAGCCTACGAGAACTTACGTTCAGGAGGCCGAGAAGCATAACAGATTTCAATTTTATGACAATCGTGTAATTTATTTTTTCTCATAAGATCCGTGCGTGGTCCTTTCCCCCAAATTCCTCTAAATTCCTCACAGTTTTGGCAAAGAATTGCTAGGTGGTTCGCCTCTTGGGGAATACTTACTATGTACTCAACAATCTTTTGCACACTTACCAATATGTCAAAAATATCCCTCTGATGCACATGAATGGTAATCAAAGTTTCAAACTTAGTCCGCTCTATTTTAGTAAGATCTCTAGTAGTTTGATCGATCAATGTATTGAGCAACTCTAGAAATTTATTGTTGGTGTCCAGCATTACTTTTTTATCGTGCCTGGCTTGTAGTAGAGCCAGCTTGGCGTCTCTGGTCCGAATCATTTGAAGCCCCAGCAAACCTACTTGAGCGGGCATTTTGTCCAAGAACACTAAAAGCTGAAACTTCTGATCGTTGATCATTGAAAATGCTGATCTGATGATTGAATGCAATGAAGCTTTTGATGTTTGCAACAGTTGGGTTAGCCAAGTTTCCACACTACCTTCAGCTCTGACTGCTTTCTCCAATGGAATCATTTCGCCTTCTGAAGATATTGTCAACTAGCTGCTTGGGAAAGGAGGACCCGGTATTCAACCTTATTAATTTAATTGCCGATTCGATCGAATATTTATTGCAATTCAGCAATAAATTAATATAAATTGCGCTGCAAGCCGCAGCAAAGGTAGACTTAAACCAGTGCAAGTACCTCTCGTTGGAAAAGCCCCTCTGGAATTAAGTCTCCCCAGTGCAAGTACCTCTCGTTGGGAACGCCCCTCTGGGTATCTTCAGCCTTATCGTTGTCCAGTGCAATTACCTCTCGTTGGGAACGCCCCTCTGGACAAGGCATAAGGGTGACGATAAACTTATCTACAGTCCCCCAAGCAGAATTGACGTGTGGCCCCCTATAAGGACCCCAGTGTACGAAGGGTCATGTACCTTATAGGATTAACATACATGTAAGGTTATATTTGGGAAAATATATAGCATATATTTTTATATAACCTGAGCGAGTTTCTCTCCATCTACCCCCAAAGCTACAAACCCCCCATGTCACCCCCGTAAAGCGGGTAGTTGTGACAATATTACTGCTGTAATTTTATTATACTCGATATCGTGAAACTTGACGAATCGGGTATTATCGAATATTGATGGTAAATGGTTTTGGATGGTGTGCGAATCTGAAGCTTGTCCGAGGATTTCCAATAAGGCCGGATCAGAAACGGAAAAGAATCTCGAAAACATCATACGTTTACGCTCCAAATAGCCACTTAGAGATTTCTGGCAAAGCTCTAGTTGTTCTTACAAGTGAGGCAAAAGTTGCTTAAGCATGTCGTCACCGACGCAACAAGAAACGACCCAACTTTTGTCGATTTTCGAAAATCTTTTAGCTTCTTTTGGTAGCTGCTTGTCAATGTCACCACCAACAAAAACAGCTTCCAGATACACCCACATATTTTGCACCAAAAGCCACCTTTCCAAAATCTCATTGGTATTGGATAAATCGTGCACGCATTGTTGGATTTGCTTTTTAAATGGTGCATTATACCTATTCGATGGTAGTGAACCTAGAAACATCAAGCTATCCTCTAATTGTCCAATAGTTTCAGCTGTGGTGTCGCCTCTGAGCAATAACTCGCCTCTATTATTGAAAGTCAAAAATGTTAGTTCATGTAGGCTCCACTCGTTTGTGACTTGTCTGAGTCTTGCTTCGATATCTTTTTCTTTGATGGCTGATATACAAATGTCTTCAATGTCTTCTTTGTGGGCTAGCAAAGGTGCTTCCAGGATGTTTTTAAGGCAGAAACCTTTACTTTCAAACTCAAATATGTGATTTAAAGAATCCATTATTCTTTGCCAATGACGCGGTTTCATGGCTTTATTCGCCATTAGTTCCAAGAGTGGACACATATCGTTAAAACCGTCTATGGTTTTTTTCAAAGCGAAAAATGCCGGCCATTCCTTCAGTCCTTTTGGTAACTTGCGGCACCGATTTTGGAATTCCATTAATTCATTGTTGATTTCTTCGATGTTCACTTCGCCCCAAGGAATGTCGTAATAGCTGTTGACTCGGTCGTTGTAAAGTTTGTAGAGTTTTTGCAATAAGTTCAATTCTTTACGTATTTGAGCTAAGTCTGGATAGTCTGTGGTTGGTAGGCCAAAAAGCTCTTCGCCGCTTTGGTAGGTTTGGAGTTTTCTCCACATGCCATCAAAACGATTCTGAAATAATTAATAATTGATAATGATTTTGATGTTAGGCGAAAATTGTTTTACTTGAAATAGTATGAGTCTATCGGAAGCTTCTCTGGCAGTTAATCCAGCATGCATCGGACCGGCTGTTCGGTATTCGTTACAATAATCGATTTTATCTTGCCTGAAACGTTCCAGGTTATTTTTACGGTAGCTTTGAAATTGAGGCTGCATGTCCAGAAGGTTCACTTGGACTTTGAGGGCCGTGTCTAAGAGTCTTCTCCATGTATAACGCAGACTGTCCACTTGCTCTATTATTTCTCTTTATACGGCTACTTCGTAACAGTTGAGAACGTTGAAAGCTTCCTGAATTTTTTTGTTTAGAATTTCATTTTGCATATGATTAGGCTGCTTCTAGTAGGTATATTCTCATAAGAAACTGTGACACCTCCCAAAATTCAAATCAACAGGAGATGTCACAGTTTCTTGCAAGACCTACCAAGCTATCAGTCAGCTGTCAATGTCACTCATCTGTCCTGTCAGGGGGTCCTATGCTAACCTATAACTAACCCAGACCAACCCTTACTCACCATGACAGATGACATTGACAGGTGACATTGACAGGTGACATTGACAGTTGAATGACATTGACAGATGACATTGACAGCTGACTGATGACGTCACGGCGTCGCGACGCTGAATTACTAGGACCACAAATAATTGCTCTAATCGTATTTGGCAAAAGCTCACTATGTCTTTTCCTCTCACTCACTCCTTTTTCAGGTCACCTAACTGACCCAAAGACGTTGTGGGTCCTATGCTAACCTATAACTAACCCAAACTAACCCTTGCTCACCATTGCTGTATACAAACCTATCTCTAGCCCTGTATAGGTGTATACAAACCTATCTCTAGACCTGTATAGCTGTTTCAGATCAAAGGCGCCGACGCCGCCGATTTAGAGATTTTTCCCACGGTATCGAAAAAATTCTCAGGCTCAGGTGCCCCCGTTACTACTTCCGCGCACTTGCCGCTTCTCGAGCGTGATAGGACATTTCCTTGCGAGTGCGCATATCCGTAAAAAAAAAAAAAAAAAAAAAAAAAAAAAAAAAAGACCATGCCTCCGGATTTATTGTAGATTTGAAATATTTACCTCGATTGGGTCAATTTTCAGCTCCATATCGACTTCTTGCTCTCGTATTGTCTTCAAATTATTCATGATCATTCTAACATCGTCCAGATCGCTTATAGTCCTTTCCAGTTTTCGTTCTATTTCACTTATCACCGCGTCAACATAATCCATTTCTCTTCTGTATTTTTTCTTCATTTCCTGACCAATTCTGACAACAATGCAAAGATGATTTTTATAATAATTATGTTGCATTATTATTAATGAAGATGTGATTTTGTAAAGCCTGCTATCTTATACAGGGTGAGTTACTAAGCGCGCGGTGGTCCATATCTCCTATACTAACGGAGATCAAAGAAAAAACTAAATACAAAACTTGTAGATATACCTGAGTACTACATTCCTAAATTATTTCCCAGTATACAGGGTGACCCGATAACTAGTAGTGACACAAAGTTATGTTTTTTTAAATGACTCTCCCTGTATAATATGACATTTCTGGATTGTGTAAAAAATTTTAGACATATTTCTTGTACAATGTCATATACCTATCTTCAACTGTTTCAGAAATATTGACAGTGAAAACTGACTTATTTGCATCTTTGACAGACTGTAAAGCCTGAACGGTAAATTTTACAAGAAAATGAATTTTACATTCCTATCACTGATGCCAACTCGTGGGAAATTTCCCTTTTCGTGGGAATTTTTGGACAAAAATATTTGAAATGGGAAAAAGGGAAAAAAATATAAAAATACATGTTTTCATGGGAAATTTTGTCAACACAAGGGAATAAAATTAGACAATATACGTTTTTATAAGTAATTTTAAGTATTCTTGGGAATAAAACTAAAAAATAAACATTTTCAGGAAAATTGTCAGCCTCTCGCGGCGTTGTCATGTTTTAAAGTTTCTAAAAATCATCTTATCCTTGCCATAGTCAAGTGTCAACGCCGCAGTCAACGGTTGAAATGTCAATAATAATTATTTTTTTATTTATCTCGCGTTTGGTTATGACGTTTTTACATAACCATTTTTCTAGTATTTAAGTTACGTCATGAGACTCATAACACAACTAGTGGTGTTATAGACTAGGTTATGAATTCATAACACAACTAGTGGTGTTATGGACGAGGTTATGAGTCTATAATACAACTATTTTTGGTGATTTGACAAATGTCAAAGGTAAACCTGTAAAGGTAAAATGAAGGTAGACAACTATTAATGAACGAAAATAATTGGAAAAATATTCTTATTTTTTGCTTTGTAGATAAAACGTTGTACATCACACGTGCGTGTAAACATGACTACAAAACTCATGTGATTAGAACGACTCGGTCTACGACCTCGTCGTTCTAATCCTTCACACTCGTTATTGTAATCATGCTCATAAATGCACTTGTAATGTAAATAACTATTATTTATTTATTCTGTGACATTCTGTCTTCATGGTACTTAAACCAATAACATTAAGCGTTCTGCTACGGGATGGCTCCATATCCAGGCTGTAAGTAGCTGTAAGCTGTCACAGCCAATAGCTCTGTTCCAACCAAAGACCATTCCAACCGACATGAGAACCGTTCTAGAACAATTATTTCCAGTTGCCCACCTATTTTTCAATAAGTTGAACTTTTATCCTAATTGAGAAATGAATTAATCGACTGGAAATAAGCTGATGAGCGTTGTTGTTCCAACACAGCAGGAAACCGTACTATGTATCTCACGATTCTGCGCAAAGCCTAAAATTTGTGCGTGGAATCCAAAATTCGTATACAGAGTGGTTTCCAAACTGTTCATGGGACGGTTTTTGACGTGTTGGAACAGACCTGGTAACCATAAATCCTCGAAAATTTCTGGGGAATTTTTATTTTGCATGGTGGGAAAATTTGGAAATTTTTACACATTCGAGTGGGAAATTTTATTCTAAAGGGTTGGCAACACTGATTCCTATCTTAGTTTTTCATAAATTATCATTTGACGCCAATCTTGAATTTAATCCATGATTAAAAATTTTGCCTAAATTATTAATCTTCGGTTATATTCAAAGTTGGTGTCAAATGATAGCTTATGAAAATCTAAGATAGGAAGGTAAAATTTGTTTTCCTCTAAAATTAACCGTTTAGGTTTCACAGTCTATCAAAGATGCAAAAAAGTAAATTTTCAACTGTCAATATTTCCAAAACCGTTGAAGATAGGTATAATGGTCTGGCAAGTGAACATCTTACATGCCAATTTCAATGCAATGGAATGAAATGTCTAGAGAAAGTCTAAGGTTAAATAGAGAAAAATAACGACTTTTTCTAGACATTTCATTCTATTGCATTAAAATTGGCTCGGAAATGCTGACTTGCCAGACCTGTATAACATTGTACATGAAATATGTCTAGAATTTTCCGTCGAATCCAGAAATGTCATGATTACAGGGAGAGTCATTTAAAAAAACATAACTTACTACTAGTTAAAGGCTAAAAGGACCATGCACCGATCTTATGAGAGAAAATAAATTTCACGATTGTCATGAAATTGAAATATTTTATGCTTCTCGACCTCCTGAACGTAAGTTCTCGTAGGCCCAAAAAGATTCTATGATTAGTTTCGGAGATACAGGGCCGGGTTAACATATAAAATTTTGACAAAAAATAAACATTTCAAAATATGTTGAGTTCAGGCAATGACATATTCTAGGTTAAAAACGGGTGGAAAAAATGCCAAAGTAATGTCATCTGAATGAAGCTTTGAAGGTTGAAAAGGACCCCGCACACCTCTTATGGAATTTGGACCTTCCGCCAAATTTAACCAAATTCTAGTATGATATAAATTTGACCTTTCTGATCAATATTTAGCATTGGCCCAACTTAATCCTATGACTAGTTTTTGAGATACAGGTAGCTTAATAGCCAGCCACACACGAAAAGTTTATAACGCGCGTAGATGCGGGGCGTTCTGGATGTACATGTTTGGAACGGCACGCATATGAGCGTCTTTGCCCACAAACGTTCAAATATTACATGCGGGTTTAGCCTACAGATTTTAGTCTGACGTTCCAAAGTGTTTCGTTAATGGGTTAGAAGTGTCTTAAATCGGAAAGATTTGGAACAGCATCTGGCATTTTAGAAATTCTAACAGTTTTGCTAAGAGTGTGTGATTTTTACGAGGTATACTGTTTTTGTAAATTTACTAGTAATTATGTTTCCACTCAATAAAAAAAAAAAGAAAAGTTATTGCATGTGCTATGCTGTATGCATATTCTTTACAATTAAGTCAAAAAAAGAAAAAACGATCCACTTGGTCAAAAAAATGGTTGGAAGAAAGGGCAATATATTGTCATATACCACCTTTTCGATAAATTAAACTTTTTTTGTGAACGAATCAGCTCTATCTTATATAGGCGATAAAATTATAGTTATACCTAGATATATGTATATAAGTACTATGATTTTTTTTTTCTTGAATCCCCTTTACATTTTAAGGGTTATTTGCTTAATTAATTAAACCTAATCCATTAGTCTATGGTAATTTCTATTAAATATCATACTTAAGTACTTTTTGACTGTCACCCATATCGAAAATTCAAATTCCAGAAAAACAACAAGAAGCTTACGTTTATGTGCAGTTAACTCTTGCACGTGCGATTTGCGCGCCAAACTTGTCAGAACGCGCAAAACCTGTTATTGTGACACTCCACTAACTGACACAGATCTTGCGACTTTTGGAACGGTACATTCCAAACTTGCGCGCCAAAATCTTCGTGTGTGACTGGCTAATGTCTAAGAAATGTACACATTTTATATGTGAGCGTGAGAGCACCTGTCCATCCTGGTATATTATTAGGTGACAGATGTAAATGCATATAAAATGTGTGCATTTCTTGGACATTAAACCACCTATATCTCAAAAACTAGTCATAGGATTAAGTTGGGCCAATGCTAAGTATTGATCAGAAAAGCTCAAATTTATATCATACTAGAATTTGGTTAAATTTGGCGGAAGTCCCAAAACCCATAAGAGGTGTGCAGCAGATCCTGGAGATTTTTCTTATACTACTTTTTTTTTATCGGTCTGTATCTTCGAAACTAATCATAGGATCTTTTTGGGCCTTCGAAAACTTACGTTCAGGAGGTCGAGAAGCATAACATATTTGAATTTCATGACCAGAGATATTCATGACAATCGTGAAATTTATTTTTTCTCATAAAATCCGTGCGTGGTCCTTTGGCAAGTAGCAAAATCAAGGTTACAAACTGAAAGAGGTTGTCTGGTGAAAATACGTTTCAACAGTTAAGCTACGTCATGAACAGTCCAACCTGCTGTTCCAAGACATTTTTAAATAAAAATATACGACTAAATACCAAGTAGCTTCAAACGCTACAAGGTTCTAAACTTTTCTTGTTATTGATATCTCGCTAGAAATGGTACGGTTATAGATGTTCTAGTACCATTTATAACACAGTTGCAAACGTTTTTTCGCCCCTTAGTCTTCATTAGATTCGGGCAAATATTTTGAAATTGTGGCTTACCCTTTGAGTTGAAATTCATTGTCAATACCTAGGTCCACAATCCTTTTTTTTTTAATAGAAATCTTGGGCTCAAAACTCAAACAAAGAATTTTTGTTCTCATATTCCTTCCAAGTCAGCGTGAAAATTTGGAACACAGGAAAGCTCAACGGTAATATATTATATTAAATATTCCTTCTTAGAAGGTACACGGTAAGCTGCTATCCTATTTTCAATATGTACCCTCTACGTACACTGGCCTTTCTCGAGTTTGCACATCAATCAAGATTTATCGGTTTAGGTTATGGTATAATAACGAAAATGCAAATATTATGAGAGGAGTGTTCCTTTCACCGAGATTTTGCTTTCAAGTGTCTTTCGGCCACTACACACCAATCAGATTAAGGAAAACTTTACGAATTATTTTTGTATAAAGTCTGGGTGTTTGTGGCTTCGACAAAAACATTTACGTGTCTGGAACATAAGAGCGGAAGTTTATATCCCTCCTACTCGAACCAGTATGGTGTCGGTATAATAATAAAGTCCCACATTAATCCTTCTGCCCGTTGTTTTCCATAATACGCCGGAGTTTTCGCGTCCTCGCTCTGATGCCGACAAAATCGCCGATCGTTAGCATAACTGCTTTGTTACGGCGCGATGTCTGGAATTATTGAATAGGTAGATTGTGTTTCTACTTATTGACTGG